AATTGCATGCCCAGGCCCAGAGGCTGATTTTTTTTTTTTTTTTTTGTCGGGGAGACTCCAGGTTCCAACACTTGGATAAAGTGATGGATATCATCATAAACATTTTAAAAACTGGCCCGTAAATAAAATGTTTCACATTCATTCTCCTCTCCCGCTTACACCTGCTTTTCCCTGCTTTCTAGAGACCCCTTCTTTGCTACTAGCTAGAATGGAGAATTTTCTTTTAAATCCCTTGGAGTTTCAATGTTTATACAGTAATTTATTTACAGACATATCATAAAAACCTTGGTGGACCAGTCAAAAATTTTAGAGGAATGAAGAAGCAGAGTATGAAAGAGAACTCTGCAAATAAGCAATTTCAGCAAAGAAAAGTGCTAAATTCTTAGTCAAGAGCTTGACTCAGTAATATTAATGGACTGGAATGGATGATCAGAGTCCCAGGGAATCAAACTGGAACCAAGATGGGCATTCCAGCAAGCTGGCAAGTGCTAACCCAGGACAGTTTGCAACAGACACTGGTCCTAAATATAAGTGAATGATAGTGTTTGTGAATGGTGGTAGATTCACAATTCCTGCATATTTCAGTTCCATGTTCACATGACAGATGCTCAAGGAGAAGTTAGGTTTCAGTATTCCTCAGTGACAATTCTCTTTAAGATAATGTCCCTGGGGGATCCTAAGTGGGTAAAAATTCAATGCACCAGAATGTATCAGCACTAAAATTTACTTGAGTTCAGGAATGATGATGTCTCATGCAAATATTACTTTGTTTGTACCTTGCCAGAGCACTGTACAAAATACTAGTATTCTTGGCTAGAACCAGAAGTTGGTGTAATTTACTTGATTTTCTTTTGAAGTCACTGGACCTACTCTAATTTACACATGGTGAAGTTCTCAGTCATAGTGAGGAAATTGCTACTAAAAAGGAGCTCAGTAATTCTTCAACAAGACTTGAAAAATGCAGAGAATGTTCCAATCCTTGATATTATCATGAATTAGCAAAAAGTTACTACCTGCTCATAAGTTATAATGCACTCATACAGGAAAGATAATGATTAAATTCCATTTCTTTAACTTGGTTGTGATGAGGAGAGTGGGTTGTGTATAAGTATCTGAAAAGCTGTTGTAAGAAAAGGGTTATGGAGAGAGAGAGGAGGGAGCAGAGCAGGGCCATCCTGGGGGGCAAGGGGTGAATCAGGGGAACCAACCCAGGCCCCATGCTTTGGGGGGCCCTGTGGACAGTGCCGTACAGACTCTGCACTCTGGCTGCTTGCCACCCCCACTCCCCCACTCCATGCTCTGGCCGCTTACCATCCCTCCCCCTCCCCGCCACACTGTGCTCTGGCTGCTCACCACTCCCACACAGGCTGATATGCCCCAGGACCCACACAGCCCTAGGTATAACTCTGAAGAGCAGAGACAGAAAGAGAGGAGGGGAAAGAGGGAGAAATAGAGAATATCCTTCTCAGGGGAATATGTTGAAACTATACATTTTGTGAATTCGATGCATTTGTAAAGTAAAATAAATACAGCATAACTTCATAGATCTGGCATCCTTGGGACCTAGCACCTGCTGGAAATTTGAAAATTCTGGATTTTTGAAACATAAGGAAAGTGCATAGCTTCGTGCTGCCTGGCCAGCTGGACACGGGGTGAGAGGTGGGGGGGAAATCTTGCACACAGCAGCTGCCACCGCCATCCACCACCCCATGTCACCGCTTCACATGCGGCCACTGCTACTCCCCTTTCCCCACTCTGCGAATAGCTGCCTGGAGTACACTGCTCAAAAAAGGCTGAAAACCCCTGATATAGTGTATTTTTAAAAAGTGCCGGACTTTTGAGAATTCTGGAATTTTGTAAAACTTATTTGTGAAGTTATACTGTATATTCTTTATCGTATCTCTCAACCAGACATAACGTGAAGACTTAACATTTAGGACTGTCCAGATAGCAAGATGAATAGGGAAATTTTCTTCACCTTGCTTAAGTTGAACTCTTTCAAGCTCCAAGTGTTAAAATAGCTAATACTTTCTAAAACTTACATTACACTTTGAACATGAAGAAAGAGAGAAATCACAAAACCTGATGAAATGTTGAAAATTTATCAGATAATGATGTAGTATGTAATGATAGAGACTTACATGATGCATCACCTAGAATACTGCAGAAGATTCAGAATCATATTTGTTGCTTGACCATATGAAAAAATATCTGAACATTTACAAGAACTGAGCTTTCTTTTGCTAAAAGAATTCAACAATAGAGCTTGAGATTATATACATGTATTTGCTGTGTGGATCACTCTAAAAGAAGTGGTTAGGAGGAAGATGAGGAGAAGGTTGGGATTGCTGCTGCTAACCTTTCATTAGGATTGTCCTGGCTTCTGCCCATTCTGTTCTTCCATCTGTTGTCAGTAGACCAATAGGAGGCAGCCTCTCTTCTTCGTTCTCTGCCATTTTTACTATCTTTCGTAACTGAGTGAACAGATCTCCCTCACTAAGACGGCGGAAATTAATGACAACATCCAAAACAAAGAACTGGAGGGAAATTATAAAAGTCAGGAAGGTTACAAGAAAGTTATACTGAGCTCATTAATGAACAAAAATCTTACTTAATTTGGGATTCCTTGGAAGTGCAGTAGTTTTGCACAGTGGGAATAACACAGCAAAGGGAAGTGGAGTCATAAAACAATGGGACTTGATACTATGTTTACTGCTTTGGGGATTTTACCCTAGGAGCAACCCCATTCATTTCTGTGGAGTTATTCCTGGTATACATTTGATGTGAGAGTCAAATAAGGTACAGATTATTTGAATAACATTTAAAACACCTGACAATTTTAAACCAGGAAGCATGTTAATGATATCCCAGGTCTCAGCTCTTAAAAACAGCCTAAGGAATTTCCCACAGTAATTCTACCACATTTTGACCAGTGTTATTCATTGTAACACTTGAAAAAAAGCAAATCTTTGTTGTTGGAGTGAACCATATTACATTAATGTCAGTGACTTTTAATCAGTGTTGCATGGGCTCTTCTCTTCCTCCTAACTTTAAAAGTATACAAGTGAAATGTCCTTTCTTATTGCATCTGCGTCCTCTGAGTATGTCAGTAAAGGAGGCTAACAGTGGAAATATTTTGTTGAAATACTGGCAGTTCACTATGCGGAGGTGGGGGGGAGAGGGGCAGAGGGAGTGCCTGGGTTTCAGGACTGATGCCAGTGCAATTATCTGTGTATTTTCATTGAGTTCCTTGATTTGTTACTGAACAGTAGAGCTTAACAGATTTATGAAGGAATTATGAAGTGATATATATACAAAATGCCACTCACCTGATTGTTACAAGCAACAATGATGTGCTCTGGTTCTGGCATTACACTACTTTTCTGGGCCACAAGAGTGTCTTTGGTATGTCCTGGAAGACGATAGGAAGAAAAGAGTCCATAGTATTGCTTCATACAGAGAGGCTGACCAGACAGTTGTCCACGAGCAAAATCAACAGGTAAAGCATGGCTGGAGAGAGAGGGGGTGGTAGGGAGGAGAAGCCAGAGAAAGTGGGAGAACGAGAAGAGGGAGAGAGAGAGAGAGACAGAAAGGAAAAGAAATCTAATCTGTCCTTTGTTCTGTTACCATTAGATCAGGTACAACACAAATTGAATAATAAAACAAGATTACAGTATGATGAAAATGGATGAATTCCCATACCAAAATTAAATGCATAATTCCTGGCAGATTCATGCATATTCATCAAGCAACTACATTTACATCAGTGGATATTGTGCTGCAGATGGAAACAATAGCAGGGCATGCAAAACAATGACTGAAACATACTATGAATATGCAGAACACTTGCACTTTTCCTCATCTATTTTGGAATCTTTTAGTATGTAGTCACTGCCTCTCCAGAAGAATGCCTGTTCCTTTTCTCCAAGAACTTTAAGGACTCTGGGGTGAGAGTAGGGAGCTTTTTTAGAAGGGACTTGAAAAAAAATTTGGCATGAAAGCCAGCAGACCAACTGAAACAGATATATAAGCTAGAAGAAAATGATGGGTACTGGAAACCCAGGTCAGAATTGCCTGTCCTCATCTCTGGGAACTAGTAAGATAGAGGGAAATCTAGATTATAAGGGAGTCAACTAATCTTCTAACCAACTCCACTTTTTAGTCCCTTTTATGACGCGTGGGAAAATTAAGTTAAGCAGCTAGCTCCATCCCTTTACTATTATAGGTGTGTGACAACAATGTATGCTAAAAGTGCCTTTTTAGCGACCTGAAAAAAGCTGGTTACTCTACTTCTTTCCTTTTTTGATTTTAGTTTATAGAATATTGTACTGGTGGCATAGTAGGCAATAATGGGTCAGCGGTAGGAACAAGAATGCAAGATGCATGGTCTTGTGGTTGGATCTCTAGACTAAGACTTGGGCTCAATTCCTAACTTTGCTACAGAATTTCTGTGTTATTTACTTCCTTGGGTAAATTCTAAGTTCTTCATCATTAATAATATTTCCCTTCCATCTCGTGTTATTGAGGTTGTACCTCTTTGGGACAGAGGCTGTTCCATGTTCTGGAACAAAGCATAGCACAGCAGATTCCCAATTTGGGAACAGTATTTCAGAAATAGTAAATAATAATAATAATGAGAGGAGATAGTAGAGTAATACGATGGGTTGTGATACGAGGGTGCATGCGTGTGATCATCTCGGGTACAGGACAGTCAACTACATTGATCTAATAGAAAACTTGTGCAGATTTAGTAGATTTTAAGCCAAGGCAGACAATTATTTTGGCTGGAGGGCTGTTTAATGAGTTTTGGTGAGCTATAGAGGGCCACAAGGGTAGCCCTGCCCCCCCGTTCCCTGGTTGCTATCTTAGGACCAGAAATTCCTAACTCCTAACCTTTGCCACTGGAAATCTGTCCCCTTGCCCTGGAAGTACTCCTTTTGGAACAGGGGGAGAACTACCATCTTGGAACTGAAAAAAACTAATGTATATACTAAAAATCAGACATCTACAATAACATATTCTAATTTTATTTCAAAAAATATTTTTGTCCTGATTTGTGTGTGTTTTGTTGTGTATGTAGAGGTGATTGCATAATAGCTTAAAATGAAGTCTTGCTCTTGTACATTATGGGGGGGGCTGTGGGGGCATGTGGAGGGATGTGGCAGGGGATGGGTATGTGGGTATGGGGTTTTTTCAGGTTGCTGTAGGTGTATATGTGTGGATGTGTGTGTATGTGGGCTTTGGGTATGGGGTTTGTGGGGGCCTGTGTGTGTCCGTGTGTGCGAGTGTGGGGAAGGGCACCATGTGGTTCCCAGCTGCATTGTGAGGCTCACAGAACTCTGGCTCTGTGCCTTCATGTAGGGCTCACAGCTAGGGTGCCAGAAACCCCATGGGGAGGCATGGAGATCACCCAGCCTGATGGTGCGGGACTCTCCACAGCTCCTGGCACTGGCGTGCCCTCAGGCCAGGCTGGCTCCATGCGGGTCCTTGTGTTACAGCCAGGAACCAAGTGGCACAGCGCCAGCCTCTGGCTCCATGCCACACCCCATGGGTTTTGGCTGCAATGCTGGGACCTGCATGGAGCTGGCCAGGCCTGGCCCTGCAGCACACAGTTCCCTGCTGCAACATCAGGACCTGCACAACCAACCTGGCCCATCCTGTCCCAGCCTGATGGCTCAGGAATTGAGTGCTGCTGAGCCAGGCCAGCTGGCTCTGTGCTGCACTACATGGTTCCTACCACTACAGCCAGGAACTGCGTGCCGCTGGGCTGGGCCAGCTCCATGCTGTGCCATGCAGCCAGGACCTGTGTGGCATGGCACAGAGCTGGCCAGCCCAGCTGGGCACCTCCCAGTGGCACACAGTTCCCAGCTGCATGGCTGGGACCACAGAACACAGCAGGAGCTAGGCCTGGTCCCTGTGGTTCCCAGCTAGCTGCTGCTGGCCCTGGCCCTGGGACCCTGTGCTCCCATCTGCCCACTCCCTGCCACTTCCCCCACCCCCTGCCACCACTCCCCTTCCCCTGCCACTTCCCTTCCTTCCCTACCTGCTGCCACCATTCCCTCCCACCCCCAGCCCACCTGCTGCTCCATAGCACGCAGTTCCTGGCTGCATGGCCAGGACTGCAGGATGCAGCAGGAGCCAGCCTGGCCCAACCTGGCCCGGCCATGCTGCCACAGTTCCCAGCTGCAAGGCTGGTACCACATGGTGTAGCAGAAGCCAGCTGGGAACCATGGGCACTGGGCCGGACCAGGCCAGGCTCCTGTTGTGCTGGTGATCCTCCCTCCCCACCTCCCTCTACCGGTTTTTATCTGAGTTTCTACTCCTGAATGGAGGGATGGCAGAGGGACAGCCCCATGGTTGCCAGGCCAGAAACCTCGAAGCAGAAGCTTCTGGTTGGGGGCTGGGGGTGAGGTGGGGTGGGGAGGAACCAGGCAGGCCTTGTTGTTGTCGCTACTACCAGCTCCTCCTGGGTCCTGCTGCTGCTGGTGCCTTGTCAGCTTTGATAGGCAGGCACAGGAAGATAATAGTTAATTTTCTAAATTTTCCATGGGCCCTGCAGGCTGGCGAGAATGGCCTGGAGGGCTGGATTTGGCCCATGGGCCGTATTTTGCCCACCTCTGTGTTAAGCTGAGAATTTATTTATAATACTTTGGTGAGAGGTTTGTTTGTTTGTTTTTGTCTCAATATCCTTTCTTTAGCAATTGTATGAAACCACATACTTTGTGAAGTTATGAACTGTTTTTGCATGCCAGTTTTCTATGTTGCATTCACTTGTGTGGTGTTCCAAAATAAGGTACTAATACACTGACTATCATGCTGTTATAACTGCATGATAGTGGAAGGATGATAATTATGAGGAAATATTATATTTGTTAACCAAAGGATGATACCAATAGTAGAAAATAACAGATAAAAGACTAAAGAATTATTACTCAGCTGAGGCAGCAAATACTGAGATAAATCTTTTTTAGATCAGGAGTCAAAATATGAAAGAAAAAATGTTACCCCTTGCTAATGCAATGTGCATTCTTAGCTTGTCTCAGATGAATGCCATGCTGTCATGTAAAGATGTAGTGAACTATATTAATATGCAAAATTATAACTTGTCAATGCTTGTATTTTTAAATATTCAGGCATAATATGACAATAGCACATGTTCTTGAGCTCTGGTGGAGGTTTATGAAGAGCTGTCAAACTCCTTTGAAGTGAAAATTCATATGCTCTTTCCAATGTATTTTCTTGTATCCAGTTCACAAGTATTGAGGACTTAGCTTTGTCTTCTCCAGGCAAATAATGCTGGCATGATGTAAGAGTTCTTCCTGACCAGCAACAAAAATGTTCTGTCTCCCCCATGCAACAAAAGCCAATATACATGACAAATCTGCTAAATCAGTTTCTTTGGGTGCATTTCAGTGGTACTTTTGAAATGTTGTTTACAGTAAAACATGCCATATGTATGTATATATGTGGCACAATACTGTTATTAATGGAACACTTAACAAGGAATGATGGTGATTTTTTTTCCAAGGCTGTATCTTCTACATACAATAGAAAAAGTGGACTAATATTTTTTAATTTAATACTAGTGGTTGAACCTTGAGGGGGAGTGGGGGTCTGTGAGGGAATATTTTCTGATGGAATTTATTATACGACTACAAAGATGTCTTCTAAGAGTTAACCATAAGAGAGAAACAAAGGTCTGACATATAGGGAATGATTTGGTAATTCTGAGCAAGTCTCTCAAGCTAGACATTTTAAAATAATATGCAGGAGGATTGGCAAACTGCTGCTCTACTGCTGTACATTGATCTATTGTTGGAAGGCATGGACTTGTTTGCATAGGTCTGGAACAGTTACTTTAATCAGATTTGTGTTGCACTGTAGATTGAACTTTATATCTTAAAAAAGATAACTGGTATGTCTTAAGAAGAATCCTTCCCTCTCTCTGACACGTCATAGTGTAATAATAAAGCAAAAGTATGTAAAAAGTTGTCAGAGCTACCATGCATTAATCACATCAGTTCCAGACATTAGAACAGCCCAAAGTAGTTGATTTTGAACACCTCAAAGCCTGCTAGAATAAGAGCTTTTTGTGCTTTTATTCAGACAGTAATTCTATTTCCAAACTACTTACGAATCCAATAAAGCTTTATAATCAAGCACTCCAGAAATGAGATTGGCTGCAAACCTGTAAATAAGAGATGGAAATTACATCACTTTTCTGCCATGAATTAACTCTCTACTACTCCTTAGAGTTTTCAGTATGAAACTGAAAAGGCTACAAAAGAACAGTTACACTCTGGAGAATGAGTGTCTCTGTTTTGATGAGATAAATAAGTCTTCTAACTTGACTAATTGCAAGACACACACTTCCAAGCATAGACATTTGTCGACTAAAGATTACTTAAGGTTTAATCAAAATTATCTGGATTGGATACTATATGAGGATACTTGAAAGTTGCTGTTTCCAGAATGAGAAAGGTGGCTGTATATTTGATAAGGTACTTAACACTGGCTTCATTATAAAAGCATATAGTTTGTTTGAGTCCCTGCTGTTCTGAAACAGATATTCTTTTTCAAGAATTGTAGGGCGGGTACATCATTTCCTGATGCTTCCCATTTACTATGCTCCTGAATAGGATCCTCTATGTGAAAAGTGTTTTGTTTGTTACAGTATGTGCATTAGAAAAATGCAAAGCAGAGTTTCAGAGAAAACAATGTGCACAATAAATCTATTCAGTTATGAGAGGAGGCATTTATGATAATGTTTAAAATAGAAATAGAATTTAAAAAGACATGGCATGTTGTCAATGCAAAACATTAAATAGTACCCGTCAGCTTCAAGGTTCTGGTTGTTTTTTAAAACTATAATAGTATAAATCCATACACAGTTAATTATTTTAGTAATGAGTAGCTGGAGAGTGCTAAAAGCAAAGAAGAAAACTACAATATTCAAAGACAGACTGGCTCTGCTTTTGCGATTTAAAAGTAAAGGTTTAGCAAAGGTTGAAAAATTGAACATTTTTTTTAATAGTGTCTGGGGATGTATATTATGTATTTGGCTTAGTTTTTACTTTTTAAAATAAATTTAACTTCTCATATCTCCATGCAGGAATATGGTCAATTAAAAAAAATGGTGGTTGAATAAGGATGCTATTTGAAGCAATAGGTCTCTAGAGAGCTTGTATACATTGTTTATATATGGTCAAAGAAATTATCAAAATGTAATTGCATTACTCCTGGTTAAGGTTTTTGCAAACACTGGGTGTTTCTACACAAGACGCTACTGCGCACTAGCATTGGTAGGCACTAACCAAGATGTGACACTACTGCATAGTAGCATCTGAAAAAAAAATGTGGGTACACTACTGTGCAAAAACGCATGGCTGGGACTTGCATAAGCAAGTACTCAATGACTGTGCAGTAACAACTGTGCAGTCTGCCATTCATGTAGATGCAGCCACTGTTGGCTAATGAACCTTCTTTCCCTTATGATCTGATTCTAAGTAAACTCTGCTGGTTATGCATAGAGTCATTCTGCATGAGACTCACAAATGTCTTGCATTATAAAACTGAATTTCAAATTCTATTTTGTACACTTTACAGCATTCTTCTACATTAGTCCATGGTCCTGATTCCAGACAGAGAAAGACCATATGCAAAGTCTTTATTAATTAGACTTCAAATATATTAACTCATCTGGGAACACTAGCTGGGAAGAAACTGCACTGTGCAGGCCATTGTTCCGTCCTAATTTCCAACTCTTTGGGACAGCCGCTGTCATTCTTTTCTCTTCAAAAAACAGCCTTCCCTCGTATGATGGTTATGTGGGTACTGCCTTCCCTGCAGGGTTAAAACAGTGATTCCTGAATTTTGTGTACCTGGGGCACATTTTTGTCTGCATTAAAATTGGTGGTGGGGTGTGTGTGTACGTGTGTGTGTGTGTGTGTGTGCGTGCACGCACACATAATGCATTCAATTTCCCTGCTAGAACAAATTATATCAGTATTGAGACTTACTGTTTAAAAAAACACCTCTGCATCTTTTCTGAATTTCACAGCACCCCAGTTGAAAGAAATCATTGAGCTGGATATAAATTTGGAAAAGATACGGAGGGGGGCCTTGAAGCTAAGAAAATGGAGAATCACTGATATAGCTGGTGCTGAAGCTGCTTCTGCTGGGTCTGTCATGCTGACAGCCACCCCTTGGCGCCCCTCCTGCCAACCTTGGGAGCGTAGAAAGAGTGGAAGGGATGAGTTGGGCTGCAAAGTTTAGCTCTGGGGTGTCCACCCACCTGCTTACAGCAAAGCATGGTACTAGGAATGTTCTTGGGGGCAGAGGGGTGATGCAGGGGCTGCCTGGGAGTTGTGAAGGGCAGGACAAGGTGCCAGCAGCAGTGGCAGTCCTCAAAAGGAGCAGCTGCAGGTGCTTTTGGAGTAGCTATGGCTGGCTCAAAGTGCTGGTTGGGGTAGGAGAGCATTTACTTTCTCTCACAGGGGATCTTGCAGTTCATTTCCATCACTCTCCTGGCACTCTAGCGTGCCATAGCACACCCTTTGGGAATTTCTGGGTCAAGCGCATATGAAATGGCATTGTCATGTGCTATTTCAGCTGTTTCCAGCTTTCTTAGGGTCTTGCCCTTGATTCTAAATTAAACATTTACTTTTAGAGAATCAGACCTCATATACAATGAGTAACTGCAGTGGATACCTACTGAATTTGAAATGACATGATTCTAACTTCCCAACCCACTCAGTACGGTTCCTGACATTCTGGAGGGGAAAGCAACGAAAACAATATGGCCTTAGCCAGTCTGGCAGTGAGGGTGTAAATACAGTCCCCATTGCCCCTGATACTCATGGGTGAATTGCCCCTCTCCTGCACCAGTTCCATTCAACTCCTGCTACAGACTCCCTACATCCTAATATAACCTGAATGCTGGCCCTTCAGGGAGCAATGACTTAAGTACACTATGGCCTGCCCTGCCAGCATATGGGTAGTGGGGAGCATATTATCTTCATCAATGGCCCCAAAACAGTGGTTTATAATCATATTGTTGGAGTGCGTTGATACTAATCCTTTCCAGTTGGTTTCAGATTGATTCAATATTAGCAACCTTAATAACCTTTCTTCATGCTGGTGTAGCCTTAGGGTTCCTGGGAAAGACGGGAGATTGGGCAGCATACTAACTTTTGTGTTTCCATTTTTCCCTACTTATCAGTGTCCAGGAGACTAAATTGAACACATTTTTTCTTCTGAAATGGCACGGAGACCTCAGACTAGCCTGGCTGATATACAGGTTTTTGCTACAGCTCCCTGGACACGTCTACATGTGCCCTTGACTGATCATATGGTACTGCTGCACAGTCATTTAGTACTTGCTTTAGTGCTTTAGCAAGTACTAAATAACTACGCAGTACCCACCGGTACTGCAAAGTCACGGTGCTCATGGTTATTTTTAGATGCTTCAGTGATGTTCTATCTTGCGTAGATGCACCCACTGAGCTGTAAGTGTAGCAAGTTAGACACTTTCACTTCGAGCACCAGCAAATACATTTTCTATCAAGTACATTAAGGCTTAGGGGAAGCACCTGATAAGCAGTTTATGATGATTCACAAATATTCATTGTTTTAAAAGTTCCTCAACTTTATTTTGTATTTTTATTTATCCTCAAAATGACAAATGTAATGGCAATTTTCTCTGTGAAAATCATAATTTGGACTTTGTGTTTCTGTACGAGTGACACTAAAGGTTGTGGAGAATAGTTTGATGATCAGAACTCTCATTTCATTTTACAAGCTAATAGTCTCTTTGTCAGAGTAGCAGTTTTAAAGTATTCTTTCATTACCAAAAGCTTCAGAGTTTTTAAGATGTTACCTTAGTTGGTCATTTACATCCTTGAAATACTGATGAGGAAAGATAATTGCTGGACTGGAATTTACTGGGAGAGCCAACCGATTGTTGAGATACATGTCATCCAACCAGTAGTCAAACACCTAGCAAAAGAGGACAACATATCTATGTGTTGCCGAGTATAATAAGCAGTATGTGTCTGTTGTATGATGGGTTGGTGGCATTGCATCACATCTGTTTAATGGAGCCATTGATCACTTTCAGTCTGGACTCAGTGACCTCACTTCAGTCTAAATCAGCCACAAATCCATACTTTTATCATTCGATCAATGGCAATTAACAGTGCATGCCATTAAAAATTAAACAAGTATCATATTGTGGTATTTCCCATATTTTCTATTTATTTCTTCCATGAAAAAGAATTCTCTGAATACACCATAAAGTGTGATTAGTTCTGAATGATGTTTACTGTATTTTCAACAGATGGGTAGAATTTAACCAGTATAGACTTTCCTTATGGAGAAATTGGCTGACATTGCTGAGATGCCATTTTTATTATCATCTATTGATCACCATCAATATGCTTTCTATGATGCAGTACACAGAAGAAATAGCCCCAAAGAACTTGTAGTTGAAGGCTCTATTTCTATGGCTAATGGCATGTAGATGGAATACTGAGCTTGTACAGACTTGCCTAATATTTGTGAGTGGTGGAATCCTTTCAGTTCACTAGTGCACAAGGGGTTCATCTGTACAAGACTCAGTAGAGCAGTTTACTGCACAGTAACCATTCGAGTCTACATGTGCACATGCTTACTGTGTAGTGAATTGCTTTAATCACAAGTAAATTTGCTACCTGCAAATTCAAGTAGCAAATTTACTTGTGATCAGTTACTGCTCAGTAACGCTCATGTAGATGCCTGACTGGGAGCAAATCTGCTCCTGGTCAGCTGGCCAGCAGAGGGCAGGAGATTGCTCCCTGCCCCTGGGACCTGCCGCTGGGGCAGGCTCTGCCACCGGAGCCTGGGTATGGACTATATCTACCTGTCCCGGCAGCAGGGAGCTCTCATCCCCCTGCTTCGAGATCATGATTGGGAGGGATGGATGGTGGGCTGGGAGATCCTTATCTTCTGGCCCCCACTTTGCCATCATAATTGGGAAGCAGGGGGCTGGGAGATCCTTATCTCTCAGCACCGGCTCCATGATATGAGGCCAGCACTCAGAGACTCTTATCTCCCAGCCCAAGCCCCGTGAATCAGGCTTGGGCTGGGAGATAAGGATCTCTCAGCCCCTGCTTCCCAATTGCAAGGTTGGGGCTGGGAGCTCTGTGCTGGTACGGGATGGGGACCCTGTTCCCTGTGCAGCTGCATGATATAATGCACATGTAGACACACCTAAGAAGTTGCAAGATCAGAATTTAAATTATACCCATGGTAACTTTAGAAACAAAACAATGAGGGCTTAAACTTTGAAAAGTGAACCCCCGTCCAAATTTCCCTAAAAATTTCCCTTAAAAAGCCCTTCTGCTTGTAATGAATAGCTTCCACATAGGGATGCAAAATTCTATTGTCTGCCATAGTCTGCAGATACTCTAAAACCAAATATCTCATATCTAAACCACATTCGCTTTTTTCTTAATGAAGTGTTGACCTGGAAACCTAACAATAACATGAACATTAATACTTAAAAAAAATATTGCTAGCATTTTGGAAACATCCCACCCATGTGGTCTAGGTGGTAAAAGCTAAATAAGAACACACAGCACCTTTTCTCACATTTGACCCCAGGACTTGATTCCAGACCGTGACCTGACAGTAAAATTTTTCATATAAATCGATGATCATGTGCAGAACTTTAAAAATCACTCTTAAACAATCATGCTTAACACAAGACACTCTCTTTCAAATCCTTATTTTGCTTACCCAGTTTCCAGACTTCTCTCTTCTTTCTAGAAGTTTTTGCTGTAACAATTCTCCTAAGCCTTCTGTACCTCCAAATTGTTCCACTATGGCCTCAGTCTTCCTAAATTGCCCCTCTGGCACCAAGTGTTTATTGCAGTTTAAGTACATGTGTAGGGTCTGGTGCAGTGGAGGGACAGGAAGCTTGGGCAATGTCTAATGATAAAAAGACAGAATGGTAACTATGGTAACTTTATACATTTGTAAAGTGTCTTTGGCTTTTGTGTAAATACAAGAGATAATGTAAATATTCTGGAGGAATATATGAATTCAGGATGGGTCTTGGCATTGAGACATTAAACCTGAGAACTGGTGTACAATTCAATTTGTCCCCTTCCCCCCACCCCCGCTATGCCTTTTCTTTCAGAAACGGTTTCAGTTTCATTGGGAAGCTTTCCTTTTGGAAGTTTCTTTATTTGAACAAGTTAGGGTGGCATAAGTGAGTTCTAATAGGATACTGGTATATTTCTAGGCTTCACAGCATTTGATTTTTATTTTTTAAATAATTTTGACTGCTAAAAATTGATGTTTATTTTTAAGTATAGGATACTGGTATATTTCTAGGCTTCACAGAATTTGATTTTTATTTTTTAAATAATTTTGCCTGCTAAAAATTGTTTTTTATTTTTAAGTATTTATTAAGATTTTATTGATTAATTTTTTCAGGATTGCACAATATTGGGCCTTTTTCAATTTCTATCAATTTAAAATTTCAGGATTGCATGAAATTGAGTGTGGGGGGCAGACAATCTTAGTAATGACAGTATATTGTTAAAAGCTTTATAAAAGCACATATCAAAATATAAAAAGTAAATATCCATAAATCAATAAATCATACCTGCTTTAAATCATTCTATTCATTCATCAGGAAAGTGTCAGGCAGGTAGGGACCAGAAGAGGAGAGTAATGACACTCCTAGAGCTCTGGAAACACTGGGAGAGGCAGCAGCTGCCCTCAGCCCCTTGTGCTTAGCTGGCCTGGTCTGGCCTAGGCAGGACTCCATTGTCACCAGGCTGGAGCCTCAAATACTCTATGCCAGTGGTTCCCAAACTCTGACAGATTGTGCACCACCAATTTAAAATGATATAACCTTAAGTACCACCAGGTGGGGGGTGTATGGTAGGGTGTGTGGGGGGCTGTGAGTGTGGGGAAGCATAGGGTATGTTGGGGGGTTGTGTATATGTGGGGTGTTATAGGGTATGATGGAGGGTGGGGGGGTGTGGGGACCCCCTGCACTCCCTCCCCCATGGCACAGCAGGCAGGGGTGCTCAGGGCGCCTGGCAGGACTCGGCTATGGCCAGCACTGCACATTGCAGCAAGAGGCTCATCCTCCGCTGGGCAATCTGTTGCTAGCATTCTCCACACTTGCTGGGCATGGGAGGGAAGCCCTACCTGCTGGAGCTGGCTGCCTTCCCCGCCCTGCAGGGTTGCACAGCCCCAGCAGGGAAGGCAGCAGCTCCAGCGCATGGGGCTTCCCTCCTGTGCATGGTGAGTGCGTGTGGGGACCACTCGCTGCACATGCATGTGAGGACTGCTCGCTGTGATATGCTGCAGTGGTCAAAGCCATGCCCCACTGGGCACATGCACCAGGCACAAGTGCCACCTCCTGCCGCTGCCGCATACCACTGACAGGTTGTCTGCATACTGCTGGTGGTATGCATACCACAGATTGGGAACAACTGCTGTGGTGGGAAAAATGCACCCCGCAGGCCAGATGTGGCCCTCCGGGCCATTCTATCCAGCCCATGGAGCCCCTAAAAAATTTAGAAAATTAATATTTATCTGCCCCTGGCTGCCTGTCATGCGGCCCTCAATGATTTGCAAAAACTCAGTAAATGGCCCTCCACCTGAAATAACTGCCCATCCCTACACTACCCTCTTTCCCCCTCTGGGCTTTGGGAAGGGTTTTTTTTAAGTAGCCTCCAGCCTACTTCCTGCACCTGTAAGGCAGCAGCTAATTGCTTAATTGATGAGTTATTAGGCTGCCTATTGCTTTACTCTTTAATGTCTCTGGCCTCTGTCCCTCCATCTCTTTCTTCACTGTCCAGTAACTGGGATAAAGCTTTCCTTTTAGAGTCCCCTTTCTATAAATGTTGATTATTACCTGTGGAAATACTTTATTTTCCATCTGCCTGTAGGTGTGAGGTGAAATTGCCATTTATAGTTGTTTAGCGATAAAAATTGAATCCTGCCAAGTGTATATATCTCTAACTAGCACTGCTTTTGTCATTGTGGTGGTTAAACAGGGAGTCACTGTAATGTGTCACTTGAAAGGAGCTGCTTCAGGGATGGTGTAACGGAATCAGAAGCTCCTGTTACTTTAAAGGGTGCAGTAGGCTAGGCTTGCTGTGTAAGCAGGCTGCTGGCCAAGGCCAGCTGCTTGAAAGCGAACAGACCAGGAACAGCAAGGATAGGTGCTACTGTTAGGGAGGGATTACCTTGCAGCTAGCTGCACTGTAATTAGCAGCTAAGGGGCAGGATTACTTCCAGGCAGCCAGCAGGTGAAGGCTGTAAGCAGTTGGATTAGCCTGTGGCAGAGGGCAGGCTGGCCACTAGGCAAAAGGGGAAACCCCTGTGTGTGGCTGGAAGCCACATGATCAGAAGGGGTGGTGCTTCAGGGCATATAAACAGAGTGCCCGAGACAAAGCAGGAAATCTGGTCCAGCTTGCTGCAGGGAAAGTAACTCCTAAGGAGAGGCGTTGTAGGAAAAGGACTGGCAGGCACCTAAGCTACCTAAGAGAGTTAAGGAGGTAGTCTCCCTAGGTACTATAACTAGGGACCTACCGAAATTGTGGTGAAAGTGGGCTGTGTGGTGACTCCTTTAATCCTACAGTTTCCCCTGTGCACACACCCTCTTCCCCTGCCAGTGATTGGTAGAGGGGCCTCACCGCAGTTTTTAAATATGTTGTGACTTTTGTTTCTCTGCCAGTCAACAGCAAGCAATGGGGCCATTGGAGCCTCTCAACCAATCAGCAGTAGAAGGCAAAAACCATGCTGTATTTAACACCATGGTTTTTGCTTCCCTGCCAATCCAGAGTGAGCAGTGAGGCCTCTTCACCAATCAGTGGCAGTGAGAGGGTGTGTGGGAGAAACTGCAAGATTAAAGGAACCACTGTGTAGCCCACTTCTGCTGCAATGTTGGTAAGTCCCTAACTATAACATCCATGGAGGCATGGCAGGTGAGGTAGAAAAGGGGAGAATAACCTGAGGAACTGAAGTGGGGCAGGAGTAGGTTGGCCACTGGGAGGTATCATGGCCACCCCTGGGGCCAGGTCCTGCTACAGATGGTTTTCATGCAATCTGATGGGGTGGAAGCTATCTATTGAGGAGCATAGTTAGTTAGCTATGCCGGGGTGCTCTCCTGGCTCACAGGCCCAATCTAGCCCCATGTCGTCCAGCCTGCGGGGCCCTGTATACTGGGTTGGGTCTGCAGGGCCTGATCCCAGTGTGCAGGACCAGTATGGATCCCCTGGAGTCTAGTCCTGGTGCATGGGGTCTGATTTGGCCTGCAGACTGTCCCATGCCTTTTGTATGGCTTGTGGTGCCAAAATGTTGAGCACTGCTGGGCTATGCCATAATATATCAGTGGCAGCTCCCAACAATATTACTTTTGTTGGCATAATTTGGGGATTGAGCATTAGGGCTGTGCAAAATTTCTCTTGCTGTTTCATTTTGATGCTGCTTCAATTTCAAACAGCTTTGAAATGAAATGAGGCCAGTCAAAATGTTTCAAAAGTTTCAAAGCCAGCAGCCAGCTAGGTGGTGAGCAGGGGAGGGGAGGGCTGCACTCACAGCAGCTCCACGCAGCCCCATGTGGCTCAGCCCAGGGAGGAGCACAGCCCTGGCTCTCCTTCCCTCCCGCCACTAGGCTGTGCTCCTTGGGGCTGGCAGAGCCAATTGGAGAGCAGTGCCAGCTCTTCCTGCCTCCTGATGTCGGGCTGCACTCCAGCTGGCTCCAGCAGCCCCATGGAGCTCAGCCCGGTGGCAGGAGGCAGGCAGAACTGGGCTGAGTTCCACGGGGCTGAAAGCTGCTGTGTACCCAGCCTGGTGCAGCCCCTGGGCTTCAAGCAGCTGGGAACCCTGTCCAGGGGCTGCGGCACGCCGGCCTGCACCAAGCTGGGTTCCCAGCCTCTTAAAGCCCGGTGCAGCTGCTTGAAGCCGGATCGCTTCAAGTTCCCAGCCACCTGAAACCCAGTTGGAGTGCTAGGGAGGGGAGCTCACCTGGGCTCAGTTTCCTTCCCCAGCTCCACTGCAGCACTGGGGAGGGAAAATGAGCTGGGCTGAGTTTTCTTCTTCAGCCCAATCCCAGTGCTGGGGAGGGAAACTCAGCTGAGCTGAGTTCCCTTCCCCATTCCCATCACAGTGCTGGGGAGGGGAACAGAGTTGGGCTGAGTTCCTTTCCCCAGCTTGATAGAAACAAAACAGCGTTGAAACAGCAAAACTGTTTCGATGGAATGGAACAGGGTTTTTGAAACAAAACAAAACTCAAAATGAAACACTGTTCCATCGAAACACCAAAAAAGATGTCAAAGCAGAATGCTGCTGTTCCCACAGCCCTATTGTGCATCTCTTTATTTTATAATGTACAATTAATTGTAACAAATACCATCTTCCATTTAAAAATAAAAAAAGGAAGAAAGTCTGGTAGGAAAGACATGCAAGGATCAACGGAAGACAGAAAAACTGTGAGGGATTCTGATCTGAAAATGCAAAGTGCATTTCTAGAAAGGGATATATCTGCATCAGAGCTCCTTATATGCATCTATTAGTATTTATTGTATGGTGCAATGTCTGTGAGGTCCTGCTCCGTTTAATAGGTATTTATTTATTTTGTTTCATTAACATGCAAACTTCAGATTTTCCCCCCATTCAGAATACTAGAAATTGCTTTATAGCAAGCTTGTTTCATTAGCAGAGGGGTGGGAACCAAGGATATCTGAACTCCAGTAGTCCAAGCCACTAAGTAAGGATCATCATTTTGCTTTAGTTTCCCCTTTGTAAAACATTGATAATAGTTTCCTATTAGGAGTCTAATGAAATTAATTGTTTGACATTAATGATGATTCCTAAGAGGATGGACCTAGACTGTGGTGGCAGGTGACGGAACAAGGAGCATGGTCTCAAGTTGCAGCAAGGGAAGTTTAGGTTAGATATTAGGAAAAACTTTCTCACTAGGAGGGTAGTAAAGCACTGGAACAGGTTACCCAGAAAAGTTATGAAATCTCCATCCTTGGAGGATTATAAGATCCAGCTAGACAAAGCCTTGGCTGTGATGATCTAGTTGGGGATGGTCCTGCTTTGAGCAGGAGGTTGGACTAGATTACCTCCTGAGGTCCTTTCCAACCCTAATTTTGTATGATTCTATGATTTTAAGGGCTAGCTTAGCCTGAAAGGCACTGAGTGTATCATATATTGAACAGTAATAAAATGTTCTTTAAGGGCATCTATACATGTGATGGAAGTCTGCTCCAATGCGTGCTAATTAGCACACATCGGAGCAGACTTGATTAATTAAGTCTGTTGTGAGTCTGTGGAAGCATGCTAATTAGCACTCTCTAGCAGCCCCTGCATCACATATTCAGTGTCCCTGCATTTCAGAATGGTGATGGGGGTACTTTAACTAAAGCTCATTGAATGAGCTTTAGTTAAAGCACCCCTGCTGCCATTTTGAAGAACAGGACTTTGAATACATGGGATGCTGTGGGCCCTTTAATTAGAGTGGCTCTGATAGCCACTCTAATTAAAGCACCCCGCTCCCCCACAGAGCATGTGTATAGATGTCAAAAGGCTTTGTCTGTTTCATGCACAACATGGGCATACCTCTTCCTGTAGAAATTTAGTAGGTCAGTTGTGATGAATATGCAAAACTTTATCTCTTATTGATAAAGTTTTACCTCTGGTTTGACTGCATTTTTTCTAAGGTGTATTGCTGTTAATTCCATTGCTTTACTGAAACTTTAACTGGACGGATACCATAACTAATACTAGCACATCTAAACACAATAGCATGCATCTAATTAACACACTTTTAGCTTAAATTTCCCAATGCAATTAATCAATTATTTTAACATTTTTACCCAGCTGTCTTGCAAATGGGTTGTGTGTGAACGTTTTGATAGACCTGTACAAAAAAGAATGAATACATATGTCTTTTCAGACTCAGTTATCATGAACCTTTGTGTCTCAGCTTCTCTAGTGCAGAATGGGGATTGTAATATTTAACTAACTACTAATCCTCTCAGGGGTGTGTGAGGAAGAATTAATGTTTGTGCTTTGAATATGAAAAGTACTGATAATACATCAAAGTTCCTGATGCTAGATTGTTGCTGGATACCAATGCTTCCCCACAAAGAAATGAGTTCTGGAGTAGTGCTTGTATTTACCAGTGAATTTCATTTATAGTACTCCTATACGCAATCAAGTTTTCCCTATTTTGGTCTAGAATCAGTCACTTACAGTCTCATCTTTGCTGCATGCATCTTTCGCTATCTTCTGGGTGGGTTTTTCTAGGACAGGCATCCTTGCATTTCTTTTGGTTTTTTTTTTTTTTTTTTTTTTTTTTTTTTTT